CCCTACTTAACGAATTGTCATAAGAACAAAAATAACAATATCAGTAATGGTTACAACTTACCCGAATTCGAAGGGAATTCTGATTGGGCAAATTCATGGTCAAATAATCATAAGGCAGAGCAAATAACAATTATGAATAGTCCTGAAATGCAGGTGTTTAAGACAAATGATCTGGTCGCTTCCAAAACAGAAAATAAACCAATAATTGTAACTGTTCAAGGCCTTCCAAAAGAAATGACCCCAAATGATTTTACAAAATGGTTGGAGAAAAAAATTAACAATGTAGTATGTTGATATTCTTTTGTCTAAATGTAATTACATTTTTCAAGATAGCATTCAAATAAGTTGTGAGTATCGCAAAGAGTAAACGTTTCGATAGCAATACTCATTAATTATGGCAACATGTTACAGTGGTGGGTTATAGGTTTATTTATTTGCGTTGATTGTAAGTTTCGATGACCAGATCGAACCTAGCTGAAGAGTGTCAAATAGTACGAAACCTAGGTCCAAGTTTTTTTTCGACTACCTCCAAACGCCTAACATCTCAAAAGAGTGCGCACGGTATCGAGACTAGTGGCCAAACATCGGTATGATCATTGGAACCCGATAAGCACTTCAAGGACTATATAAACATGACATTAGTCACCATTCAATGGTACATCATTTTCAACACCCTAATCCCACAAAATGTTAATCTGGGCACAGAGTAGACTTATTATTAACTTATCATATACAGTGATGAAGGTAAGAATATCACAAGGACAATTGGTTCTCTTGTGAATAAGTCTAGTTAATGAATATCAATTAACACGAGACGTCTAGGTTTATAGACTAACACCAATACTTATCTACACTTATATGGATAATCAATGGAAAAGATAAGTTTAGATTTCACTTAAAATGAAGTTAGTCAGTGAGAATTAGAGCTTAAGAAAATAAAATTTTCAATCTATGTTAGTATTGCTAAATACTTGAGGGAATCGATCTTAGAGAGCTAACTTGGACAATTTCCAATAATATCTAGCTACTAATAAACTGTACTCCTATATTTATAAAAGGATGCAAAGTGTTGTCGACAAAGCGAGATATAATACACTGCCCTAATGGCAACCGTATATTACCTAGTCGATGAAAGGTATAAAGGCCAAAAATAGCTTAATTATTTAAGTGGTAAGTAATCTTACAAACACTCAGTTGTGCAGAGCGAGATATTATATAGTTTCTGTCGTCGATTAAGCACATTCATCTATCTTTATCCATGAAAATTAACCAAAATTTAAACAATTAGTGAGATTCTTCTTGTTAGTGTAGTGTATAAAACACAACACTGATAATCAAAATATCTAATAAACTGAAATAATGTAGACAATCTGTAACGCGAGTGCATGTTTTGAGAAATATTGCATTCCATCAACTAGATGATCTAATTACTAACTTTTATTGTCACTCTGGGTATCATGAGATCCTAAACTTCAATTAACGATGAGCTTTATAAAATTATCTCATGAAGTGTATAAAGAGTTACTTTCAATTCACGTTAACTACCTTTTTGAGTTGAACACTGGTCATTCGACTAAATGAACTTGGTGTGCATAATAAGCATAGATAGATTTCAGTATTAGACTTCTTCCATTCAAAAACTATTCTCGATCTATAATCGTGAAATTTGTGAAACGGATTTGTGTGACAAAAAATTAGTCATTTAACTATATATCAATGTTAACGGATGTGTACGTCGACATAGTCAAATACAGTGCTTCTTGTCATTAATTCAATCCATACTGTGAAAGACATCACTCATAGTTTTCTGCGAATATAATTCTTCATTGATAAATATTAAATATTTACTTCTACAGATGTCTATAAGCGAATTTCACCAGAAATAAGGGTAAATTATCACCACGTTTCACTGTAATTTACATGTTATAAACACACTTATATAATATATCTTTTATTCAGAAAATATTATCTGTACAATTCGAACACTCTTTATTGAATGAAATATCTAATGGCTTCGCTAAAGTTTATCTACAACATAATTCAGATGCGGAATTAATTGTCCAAGAATTTAACAATACAACATTGAACAATTCTCGAATTAGCGCACAAATCAATTGAGTCAAATTATAATCCAGTAGATAGATAAATGAGCAAACCATTTTTATTATGAAACTAAAATAATGTTAAATGAACAGAACAAAACACAATATATATTCATCATTAGGTATTTAATTCTGACTTGATTTTAAAAAGTAAAATATTCGTTTCTGTTTTATATTTTAAAAACATTTGATTTTATTTCTGATTGTTTTGTTCATGCTGTCTGTTTTTTATGCGTCGAATAGTGAAATGATCGATTATTGATTTTTTTTTAAATATATAATTGTGTAACAATTGTATTTTGATTTAAAGTAAGTCTATTTGTTTTGAATGAACATCCAATCGAATATCATCACGTATGAAGTAAGTAATGATATGTTTCGTCCAATTCTGAAAGGCTTCAGAAATTGTCAATTTAACATTGTAGATTTTATTCATCGTAGGTTGGTCTTATTAAACGTAACAATGAAAACAAGCAGCACTGGATAACTGCTTTTTCCTAATATGAAACTGCTTAGAAGTGCGCACCTACAACTCAACCATGAATTGGACGCATATCTACCGACAAACGCTTAACTATCAGAATCTCTGGGTCAGTTACCAAGGGTAGTACAGTTTCAGCTTCGAATATTTAACATTGTAACGATTGTCCAACACCAGTAGTGATAATTGTTTTATTTCTGACATGTCGGAATCCCACCAGGTACGATTTCTAACTAGAAATTCAAGAATATCTTAAAAAAGTCCTAGTGAGTTGACTATTATTGTTAAGTAGCACTGTAGAAGAGTTTTATGTTATGACGAAACAACTGTTCAGCGTTCCTTGGTTCTCAGTGGTAAATAAACTGAGATCGATCTGTAACGAGTATAACCTACAAATAGAAACAATCTCCCAAGGCCCTTCAAAAAAATCAAATATTGCTTTTATCGCGTCAATCTATGAATCTACTCTGAATTTTCAATAATGCTGAAAGCATATTTTCGATTACTAATACTGAGGCTAGTCAGCAATCAATACATTAATTTACATAAGCCCAAGCTTTAAATTGGTAAGGAAAACGACAAGCGCATACAAAATCCTAAATGAGTTCATGAAAAAGCCAGTAGAAATATATCCCTTAGTAATGTCAATATAAATCCCACTGACAATCACATCCATGTCAACAACAGTTGTCATTCCGTTGAAAGTTCAGACAGTCTTTTCTCTCTAATGTTTGCTGTTGTCTACCAAGATAGTAAAATTTCAATAACTGAAATGTTCAGCTTGAAAGTATTCACTTCTAACAAAATCCTCCTTTCCGGCTATAAATCTCAACTACTTCATATTTGGTTCACTTCTACAGTCTATCTATCTATCCATCCAAAAATAGTATTTCAGACCCTCACTGTCTGAACTATAAGAAGACAATCTTTATTTATATCTATATACTTTTCTGGCTGCCGTACTAGGTGGTCTCATATTGATCGTTTGAAATAAACTGAGGCAGTATGACATTAGTTACAAGTCAGTGACTGGCCATAATGATATTCACGATATGCATACTTGTCTACATAGATTGCATTAGTCTTGACTTGTGTAGTTCATGTATATTGGTACATCCAAAGATCACACGTGTGGGTTAGTACAAGGAATTATAAGCTGTTAAAATGTCTGCCCATGTCTAATAAAATCAGCGAACTAATCATTTAGGTCGAAGATAATAGAAATATACGATAGCAAATAATACGGATAGGTGATTATCAATCCGTCCTGAGAGAGCGCTTTTGTGTATTTCATGAAGTGTATGGACAAAATTCCTTGTGCCAGTGATATGCACATAATGCGTAAGAGACAGTCAGCTGTAGCAAATACGTTCGAAGGGAGCAGTAACCATCTATCCTCCTGGGTGGGTGAATATACTTCCGTGTATGATATAGGATGCATGAGTGAAAACTTGTGTTACCGGTGTGCATGTAGGCTATACTTGCACCAAGTGCGGCACCCATGTGCTAAGATCCAGGGGTTCTAACGATTTCCCCACGAAATCACGTCCATATGGTGGGTTATTAAGCCTCGGAAAGCGGATTCTAATCCAGACAAACTAATCAGCTTTACCGAGTGAGGCTTGGCCAAACTTAGCATGGTTGGAACACCACACCAATGGATATCCAATTAGAAATGTAAACCATGAAGGTTAAACTAATAGTTCAACCCAAATGAGGTCATGGAAGAGCATATGTAAGGAGACTCATGCTAGGACAAAAAAGATATGCTGTGCTTCCGGGTTTTGGATGCTTGAGCTGTTAAGTATGAAATTACGAAGCAACTGATTAAAGGACAGGCTACTTTTACACGGATATTTCAGTACAAGATATTTGTCTGACTTCAATTACTAATAATGAACAAGAGAAATCAGAAGTATGATCAAGAAAATAGAGAATAAATGATCTCTTAACGACACTGTCAATATTTACATGGACTTTAAATGCAGCGGCCGTTCGAATGGTGGAAATGGTATATGATTATAAAACACTAAAAGATGAATATCGTAGATACAATCTATAGCAATAAGTAAAATATCCCAACATATTCTACACTTCATAACAATGAAGATCAACATTACTATCGTTTCTAATTCAATATGATTATTTTCTGTATTTCCAATGTTATTTTATTCAATTTAACATTGATTTCTTTCAGAGTGATTTTTTCTTAAATTGTATTAAATTACCTTGTACTACGACCAGCATGAAATGCAGTGTACAATTTCGCGATAATTCTATGTGACATTTTACTAATTAATAATCAAATGTGTGTGCAAATCTATATATAAATAAGTGCATTTTCGACTAGTTGTTGTCGTGCTTCGGGGTTAATAAACCTTCACACGTACCAGTCTTTATTGCTCCTAATTTCGCGTCGTGGGGATAGCAGGGTTTCCTTGCTTCAAGTATAAGTAATTAGCGACGCGGATATAACAATTGGAAACGAAGATTTTGGGAAAAAATAGAACTGAATAGTTATTTTATCCTGGTATAATACTCCCCAATAGTGCGTACCTAAAAGACTATTCATTCAAAAATCCACAATTTTTTATTCAATCCTGTTTTTTTTACACCAACTTCATCTAGAAACCATTTATTTATCCTACAATAAAGATTATTTATAATGCGACTAACATTAATTAATATTGAATCGCATTCAACTGAGTAATAACACCTGAATGAAAAAAAAGAGTATTACTATTCGAGAAAAACATTCTCATTAACTAACGTGCTTGCATTTTACCTGAAATGCATTACGTATTAAACCAACAATAATAACAAGCAAAAAAACAATAAAGAAAATCTTTACAAAAAAACAAAAGGGTAATACATATACACATATCTGCATCTAGAAATAAACATGTATATGTATGAAATGCATAAACCAATTAAAAATTGCATAGATTATATATAAAGAAACATATAGATTAGTTACACAGTGGAAAAAAGAATAAAATGTGTAATAAGAAAAAGAGGTGTGGAGTAAGTGCATCTGTGTAGTGGATAACAAAAATATTAAAAATATAATTCGACAAAGAAAATTACGTAGTAGATGTGTAACACTTTAAACAAAAATGAAACACGAAGAAATAAACAAAAGTTTTCACACGGTAAGTAATTAGGTAGGTATATTTAAACGCACTCATCCTTGATTTTTTGGCTAAAATCTCCCATAAATTTAAAAGCGAAACCAATTATTAAAATAGTATTACTAGTTGCATTGGTCATAAATACATAAATTGCACTTCGTAGTACAGTTATTAATAATATATACATCTAGGAACGTCGTTTATATATATATATATATATATATATATATATATATATATATATATATATATATATATAATGAATTAATGCATCACTCTAAACAAACAAGATTTTGATCTGATTCAGAATGCCTTCGTTTCAAAAGGCGTCTGGTACGTGCACTTAAGCATTCCGTTTTATTATTAAAATATGTTTCTGGAAATTGACAATTTAAATTTTGTACACGTTCCCATGATGATTGAACGAGTTTAGCATTATCTAATGATTGATGGGAATGTGAACTATTGAATGATTCATTGGAATTAGGATCACACGTATCATTAGATTGATCATCAACACTAATTACTGTTTCATTAGTAGATACTAATGAAGAGAATTTAGAATGGAATTGATTTCTATGTGGTAACAGGCGTAAAGTTAAATTTGCCAGTTCTAAACCAGCTTGTATTGACGACGTCACTGCATCCATACCTGAATAATGAAGCTGAAAACAAAAACATAGCGGGGAATCAATCAACATAGTTAACGCTAAGTACATTTTGTAAGATAAGAACGAATAAATAGAATATAGGGGAACTTGAAGAGTATTCTCAATCAGTAATACGCAACGTAGAACCTGGAATATGCGCACATCGATTCAAGTTCTCATATTCCATTTGCACAGCGAGATAAAATTTTCCAAGGCGGTAGAGGTAGTGATATCAATAGTAGTAATGGAAATAAAAAAGATTAGGTATTGAAGAAGCGATTCAGTAATACAGATTATAAGGGTAAGTTAGTTGAGAGACTCAGGATCTATAGGAAGATGAAAAGTGAATAAGCTTACGCCGATGCGGACGATTTCGAGCCATGTCTCCAACCACTGGTTACGACAATAACGAGGACCTCAAACATACATGCATGAATAAGTCTAATAGTCAGCGTCTTCATGGACTGGTGCCATGACTCGGCCAATCCAAGCTTTCATCTAACCTAGTCCTACACCAGCCATCATTCCGCGTCGAGGCAGTCGGTGGGTGGGTATACGTAATACATGCCCTAAACATCCCACCCAAATGATGAAGATTCACTATCTCATCAACTGATTTGGCATCCTTACCTAGTACCCTGAGTCTAACTTCAGATCCCACGTGCGGGATCGTGAATGCGCGCTAATGAAGAGGTCTATACTAGAAAGAAACGGCCGTCCAGTGTACTCAGGTTTTCAATGGTGGTCCAGCATTGATCGATTCATGATCTCAACCAAAAAATTAATCTCCAAAACCCCATACTGATATCTAATTTTCATCGCAACCATCCTACCAATCGCTTATCATTTACTTCATATATAACAAAAATAACATCCACTTTTATACCTAATTTGAATTCCTATTCCTACTCTTACGTAACTAGCTGACAATTTCAATTCGGACAATGAGAGTATTAGTTTAAATCTTTCCATTAATGTTTAGGACTGTGATGGATCAATCTCTTTTTGGCTTATGTACATCATGTGCGGATTGTCTCGATGTTGCTATTTGGTCACAAGCGTTATAAACAGAAGTGGATGATGGTTAAAACTAAAATCTAGTGCCCATGTTTCATCCTACTTGAGACTCGTCAGCCGGACGAGTGTAGTAGTTAAAAGTCACCTACAACCTGTATTGACTTCGAAATCGTGTTAGGCAGAAAACAGAATGAAGACACGTTCACTAGAATAAATTTAGCATAAACACTGAATATATATATATATATATATATATATATATATATATAAACTTATAAAAATATCTTACTGTAGGTGAACAAGAAACCCATTAGATTATAATTAATTATAAATTTAAGTAACTAGTGGTAAACTAAACATATCCTATAAAACATATTCACATCTTATTATCTTCAATACAAAGTATATTTTACTTACTGGATTTGACGTGTAAATCATTTCTGATGTAGTTAGACCATTAATATGATTATTGATATGTAAACAATTTTCTTTCCGACTACCATAATCTATATAATTTTCATTCTGTATCAAATTTACAATAAGTAATCCAGTACGTTTTACAAGCTCCATCCAAGCAGATCGTTTAACATGAAACCATTGTTCTCTATAATCATTTTCTTCATTATTGACAATACATATACAATTCTTCGAAGAGTTTAAATTGGGAGTTTGTAAACGAGCGATATATGAAGATAATAAATTAAATCGATCAGAAAATTGAGATTCTTCGGTCGACGATGATATCATGAAATGGGTCTTCAAATATCGATCCACAGCAGTTTGTAAAAGTACATCTGTTTTATCCCACCAATGATCTGCCGAGGCTGCAAACAATTGAGTTTGCAAAATCCCTGGAGAGTTAATCTTTAAGAAAATAAATAAGAAAGAAATTATCGTATTGTAGTGACGTGTTGTTTTATTAGAATACTAAAGTGAACTTTTCTGACATATGAGCAGATTACTAATTAAGATAGTATATAACCATCTATGTATATCTCAGTTATTTGTGACTTCGTCAACGACATTCATGTTTATTTTTTCGTGTATCCATGGCTTATGTGTATGTCCGCTAATCACAATCTAGTTGGGTATCTATAGTTTGCACATTATCTTATCAAATAAAAATCAACTATTTCTTCAAGGATTTTAGCTGAAACGCCTATTTTTACAATCACTTGTTCAGTATGACCGATGAGTGTGAAACATATGTATTTTAAACACAATCCGTGCCGACTTTTTATTTCTACGTTGCATTAACGTGATACGTCGACAGGATACATATGAAATTGGGCAGGATCTGTAATTCCTTGATTATTAATATTCATGAGTGATGGGGTCAAATAAAGGTTACAAAAGCGCAGTTACATTATGCTTTTGTACGCTTTTGTAACCTTTATTTGACTCCATCACTCATGAATAGTTACAAAAGCGTACAAAAGCATAATTTAACTACGTTTTTGTAACCTTTATTTACAAAAGCGTAGTTGAGTTATGCGCCCCCAAATGCCCTGGTACGGCCGACAGTGGGGAGAGTCCAATCTCCCTCTCGAAATGCTCTCATATAGTCACGCATATATAGCCTCTGCTAGGGAAGTCCTACTCACTGCCTTCTCGTGGTGGGGGTGTTGTTTACGAAATTGAGAGGACGAAAAGCGAATGTTCGGCGCTTTAACCGGGTTGGTGGACACGGAAAGTTGACCTAGGGGAGTTGGAAAACTCTGATTCCAAACCAATGGTGCACATGGGCTCCAGCATCCTGAAGGAACAAATGGTGTATGAATCAATCGTTGATCACCGGCTACCATGGGACTGCATCTCCTTACGATGCTCCACTGCCTTGTGGGTTAGACCTTTAGATCAAAGGCTCCGGGTGTGGTCCCCTAAGAAAACCACCTGCTTCAGTTTGGGCATCTGGGCAGTATCACAGCCCTCACACAAATCAAATGGGATTTGTGCGTCGCATATGTATTCGGTGCCCCTTTGTACCAATATTTATGTGTTCAAATAAATAAAAATAAGTTAAATTATGCCATCATATAACAGTAGGGTTAAATATTAGGAATAAATTTATTAGGTTGTATTTGTCACAGATTGATCTTAGTCGAAGCAACACTGAAAATCTGAGGGTTATGGATAGTTATTTCATGATAGTCTGAGATTCTTCACGAGTGAAGACCAGACTGATGACCTTTAAGTCTCACGTTGGACACTTAACGATGAGAGCCACTAGATTGACGTCCTAAGCAAGAGTGGTGCTCAGATATTCGTTTGACGAGTGCATGATTGTACAGCTAATACGACCTGATCTATAGGACCAAGTAAACTAACAAATGCACTTTAAAGCAGTTAAAGTGGTAGTATATCCTAGAAATTTTCACAAGTAGCGTGCTTTCTGTGTGAGAAAAACCAACATCCCTACAAGGCTTGGCTCCAGAACCAATATAGCCACATGAGATGATGGTGCGTACCTGGAGGAGGATGATGTAATAAACCATGAAGTAGATTAGACACATCCACCCCAATTCATAAAAGCGATCAAACCTATCAAAATATTAGTGTACTTTACCGAACATTTTACATTTTGCTTTAATATTTCTCAGTTCATTTCATTGAATCAAATTCAAATACCTATGATGCTTGTATAGACTTACTTTAAATGATTATATTTTACAGCCACAAATTAACACAAAAATAAATGCAGTATAAATCAGTTATAATAGACGTAAAGCCTGACACAAATGTGCGTTAGCCTAAATCTTCATTCTATTTTAGCATGAGATGAAATCAATAAGATTAATAGCAAGAGATCGAAATAACGCAGTACCAATAATAACGATGAAGGAATAGTGAAATTCAAAATAGAAAGAAAAATAATGAATGTGTCAGAGCATTTGTAACCAACTTTAAGCCATGTTACCCGACGTCTCTAACCACTGATAACGATTATCGTATGGAATCCACCCAGCCGATCGAAATGAACCACATAAATATCCAAAAACTTCATGAACTGATCTAATAGCACCCGAGAAGTGAAACATACTTATTCTTTATCAGGCATCCAGATATCTCATCTGTTTTGGAAAAAGGGAAACTAAGTAAGTATTTTGTAGCTACTTCGAGATATCGATTTTCAATCATTCCATGAAGTTCGATGAGAAGTCAAACTACATGTACTGACGAAACAAGAAGGCATTGACAAGGTATTGACAAATTATCGAGATTGACTTAATAATAATGTTATATGGTCATAAAGAATTCATTTCAAGCAGGTAGACTACAATGAAACATTTTAAAAAAGAGCTTACATCTGGACGTAGATCACGAAACACATGACAGAATCCTCGGTTTTCCCGACTATCTGGAAGGAATGAGAATAATTCACTGAAGTTATCTCCATGAGATGAAACTGTATGGCTTGGATCAGAACTCACAAAACCTTCAGTAGTATATTGTCTCCACCAACTTGACGAATAAACTAATGTGATAGTAATTAGGCGAGCGTTTGTTGAGTATTGACCAATATTCTTGTCCACTGAACGATTTACATCTAGAGCGTATGGTTCATTCTTGAGTAAATAATGTTCATCAATCAAAATGGATCGAAGATGAAGGGGTAAATAGATTGATAGGTAGGTTTGTTTTGAATATTGGACAGAGCGGTTTAACATGTCGTTTGATACCAAAGATTTGGGTACAAAATGTAAACGGATTCGATCAATGGGAGTTGTCACGATTACCTAAGTAGAAATGTGATAAGAAGCAAAATTAGTAGCACTCCAAAAACCCAATACACATTACAAGAAGTCTGGTATACTAAGATGAATAGGTAAATTAACAGATCGACCTAGAATAAAATAAAACACCAAGCTATTCCTCTATTTAAATCAAATTGCCATCACCATGGAATAAAATCACCCCACAGTTCAATGGTAAGCCAGCAAGATTACGACACCTTTTTAAATTATCACTTTCAATATCCCAAAAAACTATGCACTAATGATACTGTGTTACCAACAAGTGTTGGCAATTCCTCAGAGCCAAAAATGATCGAAAACAGAGTCGTTGAGGTCGTTTGCAACTTGTACAGATCACGTTTCATATGCTCATATTCGTTTTATAGACACGGCTAATATCAAACATATACCGTCAGAGTAATAAATAAATAATAAAGGAATTCATAGGCTAACTCCGCCAAGAACAAGACATATTAACACAGGCTAAAAATAGAAAGTATTGACTAGAAATTCATCGATTTGATGAAAATATTGTGAAGAACTAAACAATCTCTTTCTAAATGATAAATACATTTTACTGGTGAATAAATACTAAACAAGAGACAAAAAATAGTTACAACTTCACCAACTGTCTAACAGTGACATTGATGATATTGAAATATACAATTTATTAGTAACAAATCAAGTATATTGACTACGTGTGAATTTTGTTCATTTGACTTCCGTATTATTCAGTTCAACTCGTGTTTAGTATAATATTCATTTGTAATAATTCTATATGATAATCTGTATATAAATGAATGAATTTGATTAATGAATAATCTTCCTTAATCATTACATATAAATTTTCTTTGCAAGATTATGTTTTGCCGTAGTTAAGGTTAAAAAGGATTAGAAGCCTTGTTATCCTAATATTAAGGGACAGTTAGGAATTATCACTGTTAGAGCAAAGTATACCTTGTAGAGACAGAGTTTAGTGAAAATAGAACCTGATAAAGTGGAATTAATATTGAAGCAACAACTTAAGTTAATGCAAGAGTTTACGAACCCGAAGAAGTCACAAAAAGCGACGTTCTCAGTTATTGTTTATAATACTCCATTGTCAATCGACTTTATTCTTAACAGTGTAGGTAAATTAATCTATAACCATCAAACAAACGGTACTTTGACACATGGTTCAGGTGGTATGAAGACCTGTTTAAAGATGATTTTGTTTTCCAAGAAAATATTTGAAAAGTTAGTCTATTATCCAGAAAAATTAGTTTAGCAGAATTTGAATAAATATTGAAACGTCACTCTGTCACGAAACGCACACAATAAAACACATTTGATGAAACATGTAGACCACTCAGTAAATAGTTCGCTAATGATTATTCCCAGTTTAATACATGACACTGTTGCTTGAAGATGATAATGTATGAAACAAGTGATTTCTTGACGAACAACACTGAAGTTGATTTAAACTTAAATCTCTAACTGAAGGCCAATCTAACTCACCAATACTGATTTACAGTCCACAAACATGTAGACTTACATATATTAAAATGCCATTCCTGGCTCCCTCTCTGGGTCATAACTCAAAATTAACATTGAATGATATTAAAAATGAGTATCAACAATCAGTATTTGTGATACAGCTTGATACAGTATATTAGATTAAGTTGGAACGCATCACATTAATCGTTCAGCATTAAACATAACGTTTCAGAATCTTTTGACCACCTTAAGAGACAATGCAAGCATGTTTAGGATAGGATTATATCTCTCTAAATGCAAAATATCGCTTTAAGATTGGCTTGCGCAAGCTCCTAAATTAATGATATAGAGTGAAGTAGTTGAACGTATAGAATGCCTCATCTATATTAAGTCTCATCAGTCCTGATGCTCTGATGTCTGACGAAACCACTGCGCGAATTCAGAAGGCTCGATTGACTTTTGCCAACCTGCGTTACCTACTATTACGCACGCGATACATCTGTCTGCCAACTAAAGGATGAGTATACTGTGTAGCAGTTCACTGTGTCCTACTTTATAGATGTAAAACATGGTCATTAAGAATAGAGGATATTCGTAGGTAAAAAGTGTTCAATCACAGGTGTCTCATATGTTTTGGGACCACTGAATGAGTAATGTCTCGGTTAGGAACTGAGTAATAGGTGAGGATGGCAAATCGATTGGTGGGATATTGAATTTCCACCAACTGAGGTAGTCGCGCCTTGTGATACATCTCCCCGACCACTGCATACTTTGACGGGCAAAGATGTCTGGTGTAGTAAGCTGGAAGAAAGTTAGGGGTGGCCAAATCAAAACACCTCATCAATCCATAAAGTAACTGACAATTGAACTGATCCACGTTGACTAATAGGCGTAGACTATCTGGTTGGGGTTCATGTAATTATCGTAACCAGTGATTAGAGACGTTCAATGATATGGCTCAAAACCAGTTGCAATGGTGCAACTGCATCCATTCTTAACACAGAATTCCCCATTACTTCTTTTTATCCGTTTTTATTTCACTAATTTATATATTTTTGAGCCATATCTTTGATTCCTATTCTTTCTTATTACCACTCATACCATTACCACCTCTACTATTTTAGGATTTGGTCTGACAATTTCATCTCTCTTTGCTAATAAGGTATGGCAACTTGAACCCATGTACATACGTACCCGGTTCCACGTTGTGATTGACTAACTGACTGACTGATAAAATGGTATGTGGCCAGTTACCATTCAGTGAAGTTTTATACAACCGAATCGACAAGCTATCAACTGTATTTATTCAAATATAATAAAAAATTTAAGAAAATATAAAAATAAGGGGAAAAATCTATTTATTACCCAATCAACAAGTTCAGTTCCATTGGTATAATTTAAACGAATACTTTTCAAATCATCTGAAATAACCTTCTCTTTAGTATAATTATTATTACTGTTATCACTACAATTACACTGTTTCAATGGAGTGGAAACAATATGCATTGAACTATTAGCATCAATAATATTGTCATCTGAGGAGGATGATAATGATAATGAACTAGTATTTACATTGAAATCACAATTTTCTAAAATAATTGAGATTAATTGACTCAAATCATTATTATCACAAGTAATACTTTCATTAATAATATTTTTCGTCAAACAATTCCATAAATAATTTATAGGACCCGGAATTAAACAACTGTTTGATTCATTAGCACAATTCCTAATTGATGATGGTGTACGAATAACATAGGCAGTGAGATTTTCATTATTACCATTTAAATTATTCGATTGTTGTTGACTAAACTCTCTTGTTACTGTTGTCGATGTGACGGTTTTCTCATTAAAATAACACACTGGTAACTGATCTAAACGAGCTGTTAGCGGTTGTAAATATCGCATGGATGATGACTTTGATAATTCTGTAAAATTTGTTGTTAACGGTTCGGTCAAATCATATTCAACAGAAGCTAAAAAGTATTCAATCAAACTTTGTTCAACCTAATAAAAAATTTGAAAATACAAACAAAATAGACAAAGAAATAATTAATACTTAAAGACTTAATGTAGAAAAACACACTGAAAACAAGTATCTCCCGAACAATTCTGACTGGTTTAAGTAAACTATACAGGCGAGCCAATCCGATTTAAGATAAAGACTATTGGTTTTCTGTGAGAAATTCAAAACGTTATGACAGACAAAACTTATGTTTTTTGTAATCTAACTAAATACTACTAATAATGAGCTGACAAAATGCTTAGAGCTGATGAATATAAGAGAACTAAAGAATAGAAGACATGATTTATAAATTCGTGGGAATAGCTTCATACTTATAATCAAAGAACTGGATACGTATTTGTCTATATGAGGCTATGTAGCATTTCCCTACTATCATTTCTAACTGCAAATGTTGTATTCAACTTTATAAGCCCAACATAACTCGTATCCTTGAATCTTAACTCGAACCCCTAAGCCGACACCTTAACCAAAACTCCTAGTCATTTTGGATTTATGTTATTCACTCATAGCATCTACATTTCGGATGGCTACAAATTGGCTTTACTTTCTCAAGGTCACTTATGAATCCCGCTGTTATTCGTGTAGTCTGCCTTTACATTAAAATCAGTGTCTCGTGTACAGAATATATAACATTTAATATATTTGCGCAAACACTAACCGTTCCATCCCTCCTGACGAGGCGGTAATAGAATTACAAAGTAGTGGCGGAATATTATCAGAATGATAAAAGGTTTTTTTCGAAATCTTATTTATTTCCCAACTAGGGTCCCATTCTCCAGAAAAAAATAGAGGGCCTACAAATATGTAAAGCTAAAATCTAAGAGTGAGGATAAAAATTCCATACTCAATGACACAGAATCCGAATCACTGACATATATACACAAACTGAGTGTTTTACTTTGTATAACCCTAACCAACTCTACATACTAAACAACTAGCCAGCAAGCTGTATGATATAGTATAACTTGTGCTAACAGTTTGATATACGAACAGGCAAGCACGTACGATGTGTGGAGAATAGTTGATTTACACTAAGCTTTACACTTTTAAACAGATTTGTCTAATTGTTATCAGAAAAAGCAAAATATCTGATAGTTAACTTACTGAATTCCCAGTTAAATCAGTCAAGCGCCTTCGAACTTCTGCATCCATTTCATCCCAGCAATCTAAAAATAGAAATGTGAGCAGCAGGCGATATATAATTAGGCTAGATTAGGATTATGACAATGTGCGAACAACTTCGTGAAGTTCTATTCAGAGAACGTGATCAGTGAAGTTCAACCGTGTCAAGTGCGAGGATATTACTCGTTGAAGATAATGGAAGGTCGTCGGGCAATATCACGGACTAATAAGAGTTAAATATGTTTTTAAATACTGGCTCGGTAGTTTGGCGATTAAGCATTCGCGTGCTAGATCAAAGGTTCTGAGTCCGACTTTCGAATGATTTATGTGGCGCATACCTATTTGGTACCTCCTTGTACCAATGTTTATATGTTTAAAAAAATAAATAATATACGATTCACAGTTTTTAATTTATACCAAATCCATTGGTTACAGGCTCCTATACTCACAGCCAATTTTGATTTGATCTTGTATAATTATTATTTTTCATTTTATGGTGTGATGTGGTCTGGTCTGCTTGTATATAAACCACGTGTGTCTGAAATGTACGATTCAAATAGAAGAGGCTGATATTTGTGTTCTGAATTGAACGGACTGGGCTAGGAGAGAGGCTACCATACAGAGGACCAATAAGGACTCAGTGTTATCTCAAGGCTGCTAGTGCTGGTTGACATGCCATTGGTTTAGCACAGGGGGAAGGTCAGAGAAGTCAGTATTCTGACTGGTGATTCCTTGTTACGTGATGTTTGACTGGACATAAAACATAAAACTGGGGAGTCCCATACTGGAACGAAACGGCTGTCCAATGTTGTCTAACTGAGATCGGTTCATGACTTTAATAAAATTCAACAATTTCCCCAGCCCAATACTAGTAAACATAGATAAATTTTAGACAATGAGTACAACACCATGTGGACAAACATTGTTTTTTAAATAAAATTTCTGTTTAATTGTAATAGGCAGCTTATAATATATGTACACTGAAAACAGGTGTGTTGCATAGAAATGAGTTTAACAATAAAGTAATTGATAATTAGTTTTATTGTATCCAATAGATCGTAAAAACAACCGACACAATGTAATTCCCATGGATTACATCACGGACTGATCTTAGTTAGGCAACCAATAAATACTAGTGACTAGTAAAGTTTAACCATATCGAATGTGAGACAGCTATCCACCCCAGACAATGACAGATGCCCGCAAAATATAGAGAATTTAATGGAACTATACGCGTACATCATTGCATTTTAGCTCAGTGGTCTACAGGTTAAGAATTCGAGAGCGAGACCAAAAGTTCTGAGTTCTACCCCTTGTGAGTCTGTGAATGTGCACACCACTAAGTCAAATACTAAAATTGAAAAGCCGTTCTGCGGTTTCTGGATTCTAATCGTTATCTAGCTAAGACCAGCCTAGGATTTGAAATATGAAAATTCAACAGTCTCCACAAACCTTTCGATATTAACAATGTAGTTGATTTACCAAGTACTAATTTATATGTATCAATCAGGTTAAGATATTATTTCTCCGGCATAAATATCTAGACATATAAGAGTAAAGCGAAATTGACCAAATAGATTTAATCTAGTGTTGTTAAAAGACAAATGATCTAGTCATTAAACCACTGGTTCACTAAGTTAAAATGGATGGTAATAGTCATCATGAAATCAGAGATACCAAAACAACTACCATTAAATGCATACATACATTCACAAATATATATATATATATATATATATATATATACGGAAAAATTCAGTGATACATTTTCGAACAGTCTACATATACATATAAGTAAATGTTACCTTCAACTGAGGAAGTTCTGTCAAGTAATCTATGAGTTATAGATTTCAATACAGTATTATTATCATTCTTATTGATGTCAGCAACAAAATCCACTCCTTCCATTTCTTCTAATTTCGGATTAATTTCAGCATTTGTTTTATCTGAATAAAGTTGAATAACTAAGTCTAAGATAGCTTCAACATGAAATTCTATACGAACGGATTGACTCGATGGAATAAGTGTGAATTTGTTTATATTATTATCCTTATTATTATTAATTACAAATCCACTTGACGATGGCTGTAAAAGTAGACATTTTGCAATAGGATGTAATTCCAAACCAGTCTATAGAGAGTAGAGGAAATAACAATGTATCCAATGAATAACAATATACATAAGAGAAAAACGGTAAGAAAATGAAAATGAAGAATTATTGTTTAAATAATGTAACTACAAGAATTAGGTCTAAAACAATTAGTCAGGCATTATAATTCATTGGACAGTGAATGACTGAAAAACTAATTTCTTTCACTCACTTTTATATTTTATATTAAATTTTGTGTCAATATTTTGCATACAAGTACTTTATCTTATGACATGTGAAAACTACATTCTTGTGGGTAGTAGTTTGTCTTTGTTTTCAAAACATTCAGCGCCTTATGTAAAGTATACAGGGTTATGGGCAGCCATTACTCGCCTAATTCAGTATTACTGCATATCAATCTCGATAAGCGTTTTTTTTAAATTTATTTTAACAATCAGAAATTCCTCCACCAAATCATAAAAACCTTATTCTATAATAAACTAATAAACGGTGCACTATAGTTGGACATGTTTATCACTTTACTACTGATCACAATAATTTATTAATCTGACATGAGTTACTGGTTGATGAAATCTTGGCATGGATACGAAATGTGATCTTGGTGTTTTCCAACTTCCGCCAAGTTTGGTGTGTGCAAGCTATCTATCTGTGTTATAATTGTTTTGTTAATAAACCACCCAGCTACTCCTATTGCTTAGTATTCTTATACAATGACACTCGACAAGACCTCCAAAATCAGAACACGTTGAACAGGAACGAAACTATTCAAAATAACAAGAGTAGGTGAACAGCAATCAATGGTTAGAAAAACGTTCATATATTTATAATATATGCATAAGAAGCTTCTAGATGTTTCTCCAATAATTTGCCAGAGCTGAGTGGTTTAGAATCAGCCAATCATGCACATAACGTGCCTTAATCCGGTTTATTTCCTGCTAACAATCTGGTTATCAAGGGGTAAGTGGACCGAACAGCAGTTTATCCTGGATTAATTTATGGCTGTGGAACATGGCTTATGTAGATAGATATGCCTAGGTTACTGCTAGAGTTTGGTTATAAATGTCTTCGAAGTAATAGAGTGAGTAATCTCACAGTTAATAGTAGGCTAGTAGACGAAGATAATGAATTCGCTAACGGGACTGTAGACTTCCATCTGCTAGGGCTCCTTGAACATGTAGTACTTACGCCTAGCAGTTGCCTATCCTGACTTCGAGTATGACTAGAATATAAGTAGATGGAAGAGATATTAATAACAATCATGTCAAGAAATAGGATTAGTCAAGGAAGTCACTGACTGTTGGACTAGAAAATGTCAGATGTAGACATACTGGTTGGGATGCAAGTAATAATCTTAATATTTAACTTTACATTCCGTACGATGCTTGTCATTTACAATAATTATAGGAATTATGTGTAGAAACCCATAAACACTAACAATGGAAGAGATGTATCGTCAAAAATCGGCAGTGTTTTGAAGAAGAAGAAGAAGAAGAAATGAATGTGTCCTAAACTTTTGTGACGTTAGCTCACGTAGTTATAGGATAGATTGTAAGTATTCAATACCAATAAACTCAAATCTCTTATCGACAACTTCATCTACACAAGACTACAATCATTATCCTTTAAACATTAAAAATATGAAATATAAGTAATAAGCATTATGACTATCAAAAGACCTTACTTGCCAAGCAAATATCGACACAGGATGATGTGAATAAGTATAGATACGATCTGACCATGAATGTAGTGGTACAAATATACCTGATAAATTCTTATTTTCATCAATTTGAACAGGAGACTAAAATTGACAATTTTCACATATAAATATTTTTTAAAGGTTGAAACAAAAGGGGTATTTGACATGAAATGACAAAAAATTGTGAAAAAACAAATACAATAGAGCCCACATGTAGGATAATTTTATACAAATGAGCTGAGATTTCTCCAAATTATAAACGTGTATAACAACATGTAAACATCATTATTCACTGACTGAAAATAATATTTATGGGTGAAGTGACGATTTATTGTTTAAAGCATTTGGTTTTCAACTACCAGTAAGTCATTAGTTCAAAACCTGCTCCACTTATAATCTAACAGCCGAGTGGTATGAACGGTTCTTACAATAATTCCAACTCAAAAAATCAATATGTACTTGACAAACAACTTACGTAAATTAGTGTATATAGAAAACACATAAATTAGCAGTTTTAGATGAAGTGTAAAGGAAAAATAAAAACCACTTAACTCAGTAAATAAATATAGATATTTGTAAATGGGTTTGATCCAGAGTTAATTACTGAAAAAGTTAGTAATCCAACCGCATTTTCCAAACTAAAATTAGTAAGGATGATAACAGTGATACTATAATAAAATGATAAAGTCAAATGAACTCAATTAAAGCCAGTAGATCGTAATTCTGAAACCTGCTCCAACTACATGATTCAGGAAGCACTCACATAAAAACTAAGAACACATAAGCTTGTACAATGTAAATAAATTACATCAATTAATCAAATTCTTTCATGTTCGTATAACTTTATTATTGCTGATAGAGTCTTGGCTATTGAATGTTCTAAACAAATTGGAATTAAAGTTAGTCGATTGGATCATTTTTAACTAACCAATCATATAATAGACAGGACGGAAATACTAGAATATTCTTGTGTAAATTTTAAGTAAACTGTAGTTTTGTAATTCAGGTTATTAGAATGCATATTGTCCATTTCTAATTCTTATTTTGACTTAGGGATAGTCAAGTGCATTTTAGTGTTCACGGGATAAATGCTAAACAGTGGAAGAACATAACATCACGAACTGTTGTTATATAAAAATCCACTCATAACTGAACAATTAATTGTATCATCTTAACTCGGTACTCTGAATGAAGTAAATTAATGTACACCTACAACAACACAATCGTACAAGATCAAACCAATGACCTTTAGATTTTTAAAAAGACAAGAATTTCCACAAAACTATTTAACTTATTTGTTCTTTTTATATTTACGAATCTTGATTCTTCACTACATATTAACAGGAACAATATGATTAAAATGCTATACTACAAACTAAACATATTACATAAAGTGATACGATGTTACCGTTACCATTACCTTGCTGCCTAAACCATCCTCAGTCATTCAACCAGTCAGTCGCAATCAACAAGGAACCTGGCAGAAATGAACATATTTCTCATGTAAATTGGGACTATAGAGCGGGAAATGTAGAGGCTAGACATAGGGTATAGGGTAAAGGTGGCAAGTCGGTTGGCGAAGGAGTGAATCTTCAACAACTGAGGTGATTGAGACAAATATCGTCTATGCTCAATCACCACATATCCTGACGCGAGGTCCCTGTTGGTGTAAAAGTCTGAAAGAAAGCTAGAAGAGGTGTAACAAATATATGGAGTCAATCCATGAGGTCACTGACTACTGGATAAAACCAAGTACGCAGATTGGTCCTATTTACTTGAGGTTCATGTGATTATCTTAAAAAACGGTTGGTGACATTGAATAATATGGCATACTTATAATTTTCATTCCATGAAGTTATATTTTCTTCTCGAAGAACATTCTGTATGTATAATCTAGCCCATTCTATCGCTGATATTGTCACTACATCTACTACTCTAACGTTTGTTTTGATAATTTGATCGTGTTGTGATGATTGTGTAGTAGCTTAAACAGATGCACAAATGTGCCAAGTCCTGTGTTTCATTTAGTTATTTAAACATAAATATTGGTACAAGGAAGCACCAGATAAATATGCGCCACACAAATCTCATTCGATTTGTGTGAGGGCTGTGATACTGCCCAGGTGCCCAGACTGAAACAGGTGGTTTTCTTAGGGGACCACACCCGGAGCCTTTGACCGAAAGATCTGATCCACAAGGCAGTGGAGCATCGTAAGGAGATGCAGTCCCATGGTAGCCGTTGGTCAACAATTGATTCGTACGCCATTTGTTCCCTCAGGATACTGGAGCCCGTGTGCACCATTGGTTTGGAATCAGAGTTTTCCAACTCCCCTAGGTGGACTCGCCTTGTCCACCAACACGGTTAAAGGCGCCGGACAATCGCTTTTCGTCCTCTCAATTTCGTAAACAACACCCCCACCACGAGAAGGTAGTGAGTAGGACTTTCCTGGCAGAGGCTATATATTCCTGTGTTGCTTATAACTAACTGACAAATATGCGACATCCCAAGTTATAATACAATGCCAGCACAACGACATAAAACTTAAAAGGCGAATAACGAATAATCGAAATAGTTGTTATTGATTATGAGAAAGAATAAGCTTTCGAGAAAAGTTTGTAAAAAAGGGACGAATTCGAGGGATAAGAAATAATATTGAGGACGCAAAGGAAGGCAAAGACGAGAATATATCAGTTCCACTGCAGACAATTTCAAATCTGAAACGTTTACATGGAAATTATCAAGTTAAATATGAGTTGAAAGTATCGCTTTTACTATTAACTCATGGCGAGGTACATATTCGTGTACTTGATTTTAATCCATACTTTGCATATGAAGGCTAGTGATACCACCTAGTTGCCCAAAGTGAAGTAGGTGGGGACCTACAGCTTATTTTACACCTCTATGACCTTTAATTATTGTATCCAAAACACTTTATTCATTTTAATCATCTTATTATAATCTTGGTTATTAGTGCTCACATTTCCTCACGGAATTAGTACTTTAATAAAACATTTTCATATATATATACGACTGTACAGCTTGATAATAAATTCGTTGGAAAGAGATCCCTTCGCTGAACTCCGTGTTTTAATTTTAACCTACAGCTTCGTAGATGAAAGTTAAAAGCCTTAACCACTTCTGAGCCACCGCTCCATCGTCCATAAAAAATCAAAGCATTTACCAAATTTTAAACAAAAACAATAGCTAAACAAGATAAATATTCATTTTAAAAAATCAAGTTTTTAACTTTCCCTTCAAAGTACAATTAAAACAAAACTGATCAACTTACCATTAAAGATGGGACAGATAAAATTGGACATTGTTTGGACTTTTTTAACATTAAAGCATTGGATGTTAAGTTTTTCATGTCACCATTATTATTATCACACATATTTTTATCGAATCCCTTGTTTGTGATCAATTCAACAGTGCTTTGAATAGTATTATTCAAAGAGGAAAACTGGATCAGTAATTCTGCAAGTTTGTTATTACTTAATGAATTATTATTTAACGAATTTGTAAATGTTGACAATACACTAACAACACTAGGAGAAGGTATTAATTTGATAGATAAAGGAAAATAAAGCTTTTGTTGTTGTGACTGAACACGTTGACTAGATTGAACATGTAACTGGTGTAGATAAAGTGCATTCCATAGTTGACGAATAGTTACAGCAGTTGTCAGATCTGAATCACCGATTATTCGTAATTGGAATTTTGAAGGAATTTGTTGTTGTTTTTGTTCTTTGGAAACACCAGTGACAATCTTATTGACCCAAGAATTTCACAGGATATCAATGTTAATAACATGTAATTAGTATATATATATATATATAAAATGCAATAATATATATATTAATTAATACAGAATTCAGTGTTGTAGTGATTACTGTTAATTAGTCCGTCATCGTTACGTAAAGATTGACAAAAATGTCCGACTGGCTCAAATTATCAATACAATGTTAGTACGAAGAGATGAAATCAACCAGATAACTAGCTAACAATGATAATAAATGAACATTGAGAATATATTTCAAAAAAAACAAGGTAGAAAAGTATGCATAAAGGAATATTGAAGAGGAAGACTAAATTTGAATGCATGTGTGCGTTATTGTGAACGACTCTGAGGTATGTCACTCAAAGTCTCCAGCAACTGATCACGATTATCTTGCGGACCCCGAACAGGTGGTTCGCATCTACTAATATGGTTATTACAGTATAGCATTTAAATAAGAATTTTGTTTTGTAAAATTCTACTGTGTTCGATGAATATATGAATGGATATCATAATAACCATGGTTTTGAAAAAATTAGGGTAGACTCATGTTATCATTCACACAAAACTTCTCATTTTATTGGAATTTACTCATCCTATCACCATTCCTATCGCTCAAAACAGTCCCGGAAGTCTTCAAAAGTACGACTTCTCCAGTCGTCTTTTCGTCATACAATTTTCTCATCCGTAAGTATTTTGCTGAGGTCATGTGTACAGACACTCTCCCAAAATCCAGCTCATCAGGAATAACCCGGAAAGTGAGGTGCCTATCAGAAAGGTCAACGGCTATCCTTACCTTATATCGTCCTTGCAGTCTTTCTGACCTTTACTGAAGCTCTTGATTCATTCTAAAAAGAGCCGTTTAGGCTAGTGAATAATCTTCAGAAACAGACTTCAACATTTCGCAAATTCGCTAATAAACTTTACCAAGTCGCACCGAAAACTTTGACGTTTCGGCTCGTTTATTAAATTAACAGAAAGTATAGTTACGAAAAAACGGAAAACCACGTTTGGAAGTGATTTTTACCACAATTTGATACTTTAAGTATACAATTTTGAGTCTATATAAAATCAGACTGATTGGCATACATAGAAAGAAAGAATATAAAGAGACCTAGTTGCTGGAGTGGAATCCAAGAAACATACCTTGGTCACTCATGATTCACAAAATGATGTTTACTTTTTATGACAGTTACTATTAACTTATTCAATCCACATAAGCAACACTAAATAATTGCTAATGTACTTTGTTTAGTTGATTCCTTACAAGCTAAATATGTAAATTTTTAAACTAATAACTATTTAAAACCTTAAAACAGACTTATCTGAGAGATTTCAACATAATATACCCACTACATATGATTTGACGAACAAAACATATTGCTTACAAGTTATGTACTAAAATTTCTACAAATAACACAAACCAATATAATGAAATCTTAGCGATCGTTAGTACTACTTAATTGCTTGCTTTTCTAAAACATAATACCTGGTCACTCTCTACCGCTAGGTCAAACGGATCTATTTGACAAACACCAACGTTGATAAGACCACGACATGTAAATTCTTCAATTAGATGTGGTATCCAGTGTTCACACAAAACTATACGTAGTAAGCCCCGGACAAAACAGTGATTAGCTGCAAATTTGCCGGTTATTAGAAGCTGAAAAGTAAAAGAATATATTTATTCAAAAGGTGAGAATATGATAACTAACAAGTAACTTAGAAAAATGACACACAACAACCTAAAAACAACATGCAATCATTTATTCTCTACAATTGTAGTGCTCATCAGGTAAGCGATACACATACACTGAACACCTAAACCTCAACAGGTGAAGATTAGACTTGGCTCTGTTATTTATATCTTGATTGAAAGTCTAGGCTTTACAAACTAATGAACCATACTGTTCAAGTAGAAGTAGAAATTATTTTCATATGATGAAACTATAGTCAATCAATTTTGATGCTGATATACTTAGAAGCAAATTACGAACATAAAAACTCGAATGAAGGCAAAAATATCACTGATATTTTAGGAAATGAATGGTGACCATCAAACCTGTATCATTCATGTCTAAGAGCTAAAAAGCAGAAAGATATTTTAACAGTGTGTTCCAATATAGTCGTTCGAGTTTCCTTGAACAAATTAATTGTTACACTTACGGTATCTAGTTATGCTTATTTGTGCTTGATTTGGTAGATCAAAGATTCATGTGAGAATTGAATTTAGTGCCCTATCAGATGAAGTTCACTGATTCAATGAAATTGTGAAATCGTGGCTTAATGGTTAGAGATAATGACTATCCAAACACTGAATTGTAGGTTCAAAACTCACTATAATCCTACTTTATTTTAAGTAACCGAAAAGTATCATATCAAATAAGATGTGTGCTTTAAAACTGAATACACAAATCTTTAGTTGGTCATCAAGTTCTATTCATTTCATGACATATATGTTTGTTTTATATAGAAAAAGCTTCTTTTCTATGAGTGAAAACAATGCCAAGAAATCAAAATGACTACATTACCATAGACCACAACCCGATACAACTTTCATGAGATTTAGGTGACCTTAAAGCTGGGCGATTCAAAAACTTCAGTTAAAAATTGAGTTATGGAAAAACATTTCCATAATAACTTGGATATTCACGCTTTATGTCAACGATAGAGTCAACATGATGTGAATTGCTTCAATGATATATTAAACTACTTATTAGAGATAGAAAGTTTTAAATGAAAATAACTACAAGAGTAGTGTAATAGAGGTTTCCATATCGTGCAATACTCGCCGACAGCACAGTTGGTTGAAAAGCGAATAACTGGGCAGCTTATGAAATGACATCACGAAGTATAAGATGGCTGCTCTATATAGGACCAGTATTTCCTAATCCATCATGATTCTATTGTCCCAGAGATCATATACATTAGTTGCACGAAAAATTATCAAGCATAGCTAAGAATAGAAATCAGTGGCGAATCAATAGCAGTTTTTGATTACACTCTCTATAAAAAAGACAATCCTTCCTGATTGAACAGAATTCGTTTGTGTTACTTTCGAAATTGGACTGAACCTTTTAATAAGCACTATTCTTGTTCACTTATTTATACTTCACTCCATCTTCTATATCTCTTTGACATTGGTTTTATTTTATTTTGTAAGAAGCATTCATTAGGTGGAATGGAGTTATTCAATGTTTAATGCATCGTACTCAGTGGTTTCGGCTAAACGTCTGTTCACTTAGTAGCTAAGTGCTGAAAATTAGTGTACTTTTTATTAGAGACTTTATTTTGTGCCTTAACTTTTCATCCTACATGTTGAGCTAAGCTATAATGACATATTTATAGCGGATAACTGGGACGAAATCTTCATTGAAAACTACACTTTAACATGTAGCACCTACGATATAAATGGACGGAAAAATGACAGAAACTGTTAGGTACAATAAATTTGAGGAATATTGAAAGTACTGTACATAGCCTTGGCTGTTTAGTATCATAGTACACCGAAATTTTTACCTGTCATAATAAGTAAATACATGATAAACTAATCTTAACACTGAAAACTGAAATAAGAATCTAACCACAACATAAGTGTCCTTCATTTTTACCGTACTTAGAAATGTAGCTTCGTTAAAGTTTACTCGATGATTCATTTTACAAGGTAATTGCCCTGTTACTATGATCGCCGTAAAGGTGTTTAAAAACAACAGATATGCACTAGTATTATTCTCAATTCTGTTAGCCTAATCACTATTTTGATTCATCGTTGGTTTTATCTGGGTGTTAGATGAGTTTGAAGGAGAAGCCGACGTTTTCCAACGTTAATTGTTTTTGATAGTCGATGTTGGAAAGTATTTACTCTTAATTAACAAGCAAACACACACATAATATGATAATATACACTACAGCACTAGACATCCAAAACAATAGAACTCTACAAGCAAAACGAAACATGCACCCTTGAAGTAAAACTCACTTTGGGATTACGAAACCACAAACAAAGAACTAAATTTCGTACAGCTAAGTACAATGTAGGAAAACTGGAACAAATAAATAAAACACGGAAGAAATAAATGATAAATAACCTCTCAACATGAATGTGTAAACCAAACATTCTTCTAATTAGATGGTACTGAACTACTACTAGATCTCAAAATATCACATTGACAGATTCTGTATACAAGATTGTAGTCTCCGAATGAATAATGCTTGCTTGGCATTAATTAACACGTATAGGATATACATTCTGATGTAAGACACTATATGGAATTTACAAATACAGTGGACATGATAAAAGTGACCCTATAAATAACTTGTACCATTAACATGGAGAGCGAGATATTTTCTCGAAGGATTCATTTGCAGTTCAAGTTGGATTGACGTTGAATTTTATCAGAATTAAAAATATGTTAGGGATTTACACATATACAATGTATGTCAGATGATTGAAAGTAGTCAGTAGGAAACTTTAGATCTAGGTTCCACGCTGACACTCTTCAGCAAGGTGTATGTGTAATCTTGAAAGAACTGACGCTTACCTGGAGGACTCGAATCATAGTCAGTGTATACAACTGACTTCAAACACGATGGATGGCTAAATGGCATAAAGTCTATGCATAATCAATAAAGAAACCTGGATTGTCGCTAGGAAACGTAATATAATAGGAATGATTTAGTAAAGTGAGGATATTTATCACAAACCATCTAAGTTAACTTGACAAAAAAATCGTGTAGAAATTTTAGGCCTCGAAATAAATGGTATACATCTCATGCGTTATAGTGTCGTGTTCTAGTCTGTTAGTTATAAACCTGTTACACGAAAGTGAACAATATTACTTCGTTACCTACAGTGGGGAAGTCACTGTAAGTCATTGTGCTAAACACTCACACATGTACACAAATAAACATAATGATCAAACAAAGAAAATTAATGAACTAATTCCAAATTAAACTTCGCAGTAAATACTAACTACATACCGAGACATTTCAGAGAATGAAAATCTTTCCCAAGCGTGCAAATCAATCGGGGAAAACGCCCCATCCTCTTCAAATACACTAAAAGGACTGTCAGAAGACGCTGGTAAAAGAAAAATAAAATGAACTTATTACTACAACTCTATGACAGTCAGTTATGAGATTGTACAAAAACGGTTTTGAGGGATGAATATAAGGAATCAAAAAATGTAAAAGTCTATTAACTATAAAACAGATATTTGAGCACAACGTAAGCTTTCGCTACCCGACAAGTATTCATCTTGGTAACAGTCGAGTCAAGTGGTGTCCGTCAAGGTTATCCACTATGTCCATTTTTGTTCAACTTCATCATAGACATACTGATGGAAATAACGTTCTCGTCGACTGAATTTTCGGGCATTGATCTCCAACCACGAGGTCCATTTATCGACCTAGAATATGCAGATGACATAGTCATGTTTGGTGAATACATTGATAAAATGTAGTCTTTTGGTAGCACTCAGTAACAATACCAGGATGTTTGGGATGCGTTTCTCCCCCTCGAAATGTAAATTGTTGCTCCAGGACTGGACTGCATCAACACCTGAACTGAGGTTAGGGAGTGAAGTAGTTGAACACACAGACAACGTGACTCATCTTGGAAGTCTGATCAGCCCTAATGGGTTGGCGTCTGACAAAATCTCAGCGCAGACTCAGAAAGCTCGTCTGACTTTTGCCAACTTACGTCACCTATGGCGAAGGCGAGATATCTGTTTATCAATTAAGCGATGAGTATGCTGCGCAGCAGTTAGTTCTGTTCTACTTTACGGCTGCGAAACGTGGCCATTAAGAGAAGAAGATATGAATACAATGAATATTTTATTTGTAAATTTCCATCATTTGTCCTTCACATTCTGCATGATTCTTCCAAGTCATAATTCCTTCCTATTCTCGTTTCTGTTTTCTTCAAGTCGATCCTCACAGCCTTCTACTTCCATGCATTCCTCTTCTGATTGGTGTTACATACTACTTATGACTGTCGACACAAGTAGCATACACCACAATCATAGAATGTAAGGGATGTTTTGGATAGGAAAATGATGACTGGTTGTTTACCTAGTCAAACTAGTAGATAGTCTGACAGGTATAAGATGTGTTATATATTAGCCTACCCCTATTATTAATGCTAATTTTGTCGGTTGTTAGTGTGGAAATATACTCACGTTCAAGTCAGGCCAGTCACACGTTCCTGATCCAAGTTGCGCTAAAGTCCTGTAGAATAGATATTGGGAGGGCATCTAGTGTAGATATTTGTCTAAGGTAAATTAACGTCCCATTTGTGTAAGGGAAATAACCGAGTGTTATTTCAGTAATTGGTATATAACTTAATGAACTCAGATGATAATTAACGCTTCATGAATCTTTAACAATAAAGTATCTATACAAGCTTGAACTACTGTCTCTCGTTAGTAGCCAGAGAAGAAGATAGAAAGCAGTCTTGTTCATTATTTTTTCTTATTTCTTGCTGGAGAAAGAAATAGGCATATTTGTGATAAAGCGAATCACGAAAAAAAGAAAAGTTCTCACCACTTCGTGTATCATCTAGCCAAAACTATGTGAAATATAACAGACATTTGAATGTATCTTCGTTTTATCTCTCAGCTAAACTGTTAAATTTCAACTATCATAGAGCACATCATAAAAAAGGAAGCGCTAAATGATTATACTAGGAAGTAATTCAGTTTCAAAAATAATTTATTGCCTCATATGTCACTATTAGATAAAAATAGAAATTGTTGCACATAATAACATAAATGTAAAATAAATAATCACTATTAAAATATTTACCTGCTTTCTCATCTTCATCAGTAGAACCTGGGAGTGGATCAGGAGACAAGCCAGCCAAGTCGACGCCATATGAAGATGAAACTTTCAGGGCAGGTGATGCTTGTAACCAAGCATGCGTCTGCATACTTGCCAAAAAGTCATGGGGTTTATTGATGACAATTTTAGCGCGCTACGATGAAGATTGTTGGATTTGTTCCAAAAAGAAAAGAACAAGACATTTACAGGAAACAAAAGACTGGAGAGAATTATTTCAAACTTATCTCAGACCCAAGTGTAATGAAATAGGTAGTATATGTGTTTACAATGGAACGAAGGATTGAAGTTGGAACTTTCTAGGACTGTTATATAGTGAACTACTATTCTTAATCCTATTAATAAACAATTATTAGGTAATTTTGATGGAACTAAAACCCATAATAAGAACTGAAGTGCTTCAAATATTAAGTAATTGGTTTATGGTATTGCTGTATTATTTAATCCATAGGCTTTTGTAAAATGTAAAAACGGTCAATGTATGTTTCACTATCTTTAAATTATCGCTGATTGATTATTTCTCTCGCTCTGTCCTCTATCAATTTTGGCTTGGTTGCGCATAAACTACGTTTTCCCACTGACGGTGCTTGCCATCTACAAATTCACGTGCATAAACCTACAAAGGTTTGAAATATGAACAATAAATGATTGCCTGCTTTCGTTTTGGACCAATAGGCGCTGAGGATTAATTAGGTCGCTCATTAAGACAAACTGTTGTTAGAGTGCGCCATTGGTTAAAGCTAAGGTCATTGAGAGTTCACTTGGATTAGTGAATTATAAGCTGGATTTGCACAGATAGAATTTTATCTAGTGATTCAATTAAAAGAGATATATGAGAATCAAAGATATAACAAAAGAGATGTTCAAGTATTCGAAACTATAATTCCTCATTACATCTACAGAACCTAACTCAGAAAGTATTATATTAGCACGACTGTTGTACAAATAGAATTTATTAACCTTATCATATAACAAGTCAAGTGTGGTGAATAACTTTCTATATGTAACAAAGAGAATATAATTAACCAGATAAATACAACCAACTACATATTCTGAAGCAAACATCTTATTTGATGACTAGTGATAACACTCAACTGAAGTAGGTGTATTCAGCTGCTGATATATGACTAAATGGTTAGACAGTCGACAGCTTTAGCTACTATCCTACTTATCCAAACCAGAGATACATATAAACTGACCAACTTTTTAAATAAAAATCAAATCTACACATCATTGCACAACACTTTTAATATGTGAAATCAGATAAACCTTACTGGAGAAAAAAATCAACTGCATCATACCACTAACATCAATGTGTTGGTATAACTGAAAAGCAGTCGTATTAACAAATGTACATCCTGATGAGAATTTTTTTAAAAACATAGAATATGAACTCCACATACTCGTTTGTTTTTTTAGTTCAATTCATTATCATTATCTATATGACTAGTTTTGTTCCTATGACAACTATATTGACTGATCTTGTTTTATGGTCTAATCAACATTATCTTTTTCACAACCTGAATTCAGTTTAATGAACATCGCAAGTCTGGGTAGAAGGAAAATTGTTGTTTGTAAAATATGAACTAAAGACGTTATTTGATGAAGCATCACAACCTAACGACTTAATACTAGTCCTCATCAGGAAATTCATGTCTAACCGTAAAATTCTGTTAATATAACACGCCAAGTACAGGTTTATGTACTCGGTGTTAATTCACACTTGTAAGGACTAGTGCTACCATCCAGTCGTTAGAATAGAGGCAGACGGTAGCGGGTTTGAACGCTCAAACTCCTACTCAAAAGTTGAGCGCTTTTATCACTAAGCCAGAAATCCATTGAAAGTACCTTCAGTTTGTGAACAAATTGGCTTTTAAACCACATCATACTGTAATATGAAGTTGTTAGCGAAGCATAGATTGGGTTGAAGCACGTTCCATGCAGGATTGCGTTGTTGCACGCTGATTGGCTATTTCTTATCTAATTATCCTTAGAGGATACTTGGAGAAAACTCTTTCATGCGAAAACCACAAATATAGTAACGTGCTTCTTACTTCCATCTACCCTTGTTATTTGGAATATAATTTCGCTCCTGTTCAACCTGTGATGTGTGTTACTGATGTCCACCGATATAAGTAGTATGTACCATCAATCGAAAGTGAAGTTTAAAGAAAGAGAAAGAGAACAAAGAATGACTGGTGTGGAAACGAAAGAAGAATGTAGTCTGAGACGATTGATTGACGTTTTCCAAATTAAGTATTTACTGTACGGTTTTACTAAGAGATCCTGTAATTTTGTGTTGAAATACATTCGATTATCCCCACTTGTGTTCTCATCCACTACAGTGTTCTGGTTTGGGGACTTGCCAAGTGCATTGGTATCCAAGAATACTAAGCAATAGGAGTAGCTGGATCGTAATAAAAGAAATTATAACACTGACGACGGGGAAAAGGAAAACACGTTCAAGATGCCGATATCAAATGACCAGCTAGACCGAATACTAAAACAACAGCAAGCACAACTTGATGCAAAAATGCGGTTATTGGAGACTCTAACGCAACAACTTAACATCCACTGCTCGAGTCCACACGCTATTTCAAGTACTTCTTGTGATGCAGTTGCTGGCAGCATCCCAGAAGTCAACTATGACCCTAATAGTGGAAACACTTTTGTCATGTGGTTCAAGCGTTGGGAAGATACATTTAGAACAGAATTCTGTAAACAAGATAACGCGTGGAAAACTCAATTGTTGATGCATAAGTTTGGAATCAATAAATATGCACGTTATGCTGACCATATATTGCCGAAGTTATCTCGAGGACTCAGTTTCGAGGACACGACAACTCAATTGTCAGAAATATTCGGTGAATCCTCCTCATTGTTTAGTATTCGACACGTGTCTAAATTTGGTGAAACGCCAAGCCGATGAATATGGTGCTCTAGCAGACATCGTCAACAGAGAGTGTGAACGGTTCAATTTACGCTCATTAACAGAAGACCAATTTAAATGCTTTATATTCATCAAAGCTTTCCAGTCATCACAAAATACTGAGAATAGGACTAGACCTTTAACTCGACTAGATCAAGATCCAAACGTCACACCCAAGACATTGAGAGATGAATGTTAGCGGCTACAAAACACCAAACGCGACGATGAGCTGATTGAACAAGTAAATCCTAATTTAACCTGCAGTAGTGTCAATGCTATTACTAGGTTGAAAGCTCAGAAGCCGAGAACAGCTTCTAACAAACCAATAACTGCCTGTTGGTTGTTGGTTATGCGATGGTTGACATTATGTACGATTCTGCCGACTCATTAAGAATGAATTTGTCCACCGAATCGTACGTCCCAGCCCAAGAAGAAACATAAACGTCCTCGACATGTGGTGAAATCAGCCGACTATAAATCTTTTTCTCTGGTAGCAGCCTTCCAAACAGAATATGATATTCGGAGAAAGTGTGCTAATATCCAGATTAACGGCGTACCAGCTCGTCTTCGAATTGACACGGCATCCGACATCATCCTAGTGTCTAAAGAAACTTATAACCTGCTTGGGAAACCGCCAATGAAGCCATCTAAGAAGACTATTAAACACACATCAGGAGGAGTGGCAAAATTGGTTGGCGAATTACAGTGTGAATTTTCCCACAAGGGAACTAACTGTAAAGGAAAATACTATCTAACTGAAAAGCCAAACCCCGATCTTCTTGATCTAGGTATGCTAGATAAACTTGGAATAATGGATATGAGTGTCTATAACGTATCGTGTTCATCATTGGATACCACGATGCTTGCAAAAAAGAAGAGTGAAAGGTTTCCGTGGCAGTGTATACACTTGGATTTGCTTGTCTACTTCATGGACAAACTTTCCTTTCAGTAGTTGATGCATACAGCAAGTGGCAAGAAATCTTTCTCGTGGAACATCCAATTGCAATCTGCACAGTCAGAAAACTATGTCGGCTATCTAGTCTTTTCGGGGTTCCAGAACTGGTAGTTAGAGATATTAAAACGCAGTTTACGTCCGCTATCTTCTCAGGATTTTGTCGGTAGGACGGAATTAGTCATGTCCGAACACCTCCATCCCATCCCCAATCCAATCGCCAAGTAGAACGTTTGTCAGTACATTTAAAAATGCTCTGAAAAAATCAAACGGGAAGGGGATCACAGGAGAGATTTTAGAGGGGTTCCTGATTGTCGGTCTACACCAAATACTCAGACAATTAACAGGGTCTCTCTAGCAGGAGCTTTACTAGGCAGAAAAATACGAACACATTTCGACGCCATTCGTCCGACGCTAGCTGTTGAGTCTCGACGAAACATCGGTAGAGAAGCAATTCAGTCGACATCATGGAGCACAAAAATGATTGTTTACTGTGGGTCAAAAAGTACTTGCTATGGGTTATCGTGGTAAACATTCGACGTGGGTAGCTGGTCAAATCGTACAAAAGAAAGGAAATGTGGTTTACGAGGTGTCAGTTGGCTCAGAAGTTTGGGTGCCATGCTAACCGAATAAAAGCAACTTCGATCGTCAGCAATGACACTCGACATAGAATACCTTTTGATGTTTTGCTGGACAGCTTTGAGATTAAAACCCATCAAATAAACAGGCCAGTCTCTGTGGAAGCAAAGGGTGGTACCACTTCTCTCCGTGGACAAATCCGAAGCACAGACCAGTAACAGTCAGTCAGTCAGTCAGTTACGACGTAGAACTTCGTACGTACGTACATCAGTTCGAGTTGCCATACCACATTAGCACAGAGATTAAGTTGTCGATTCAAATCCCATATTGGTAGAAGTAGTAAGAGTATAAGTATTATGTGAAAGATAAGGGTTTGAAGATACTCGCTTCGGCGGTACATATACTAAAATTGGAACGATACAGAGAAGATTAGCATGGCCCCTGCGCAAGGATGACACGCAAAATCGTGAAGCGTTCCATATTTATTGGCTGGGCGTGGTGGCGTGCGCCTGTAATCTAGCTACTTGGAGGCCAGGGTGCGGGATTTGCCGGTGACCATACCACGTTGAAAGCACCGGTCCTCGTCCGACCAGTAACACAGTTTCACATGGATCCTAACACCAGATCCTACGAATCTGCTCGAAGGGGAGATATTAGAGGGATAAATATTAAAGCATGTCCTGTGCGGGATTGTGTTGGGACGCGCTGATTGGCCATTTTCTTAACCAGAGCTAGCGGATAATTAGAGAAGACTCTAACGCTTTTTTATTGTGATTTCTGTTTCCAGTATTAATTGCCATTTCATTTGTGTGTAGGCTGGGATACTGGCCGGGTGCTCAGACAGAAGCAGGTGGTTTTCTTAGGAGGTCACATCCGGAGCCTTTGGCCTAGAGGTCTAATCCACAAGGCAGGTACACAAGGAGGTACAGTCTTATAGTAGCCGGTGACCAACAATTGGTTCATACGCCATTTGTTCCCTCATGATCCTAGAGCCCATGTGCACCACTGGTTCGGAATTACAGTTTTCCAACTCCTCTAGATGGATCGTCCATATCCACTAACCCGCTTAAAGTTCAGGATATCCGTTTTTCGTCCTCTCAATTTCGTAAACAACAGGCGGTGAGTAGAACTTCTGTGGCAGTGACTGTATATGCGTGGCCGTGTGAGAGCATTTCGAGAGGACGAGATGATTCTCCCCATGCTCGACCTTACCAGGGCATTTGAGCGGCAGTCCTACTTCCATCCATCGAGTGAACTGTTGTCCAAGAATACTAAGCAATAGGAATAGCTGTGTCGTAATAAGAGGAATTATAACAGAAATATATGATACATTGAAAATTGTAGACAAATCTAATTTCCACGTAATCATGTTAGTAGAATGATAATGAAATACTTTGTGCATAAAATTACTACTCCTTTTCCACGAATACCATGTTGGTCGGATTAACAAGTCAAATAAAAGCTTAGACATTTAACTTCTATACGTAAACAAATGGCGTATATACATAGCACACAAGAAACTTACTTCGTCTACCGGCCAGGAGCAAGGGTTGTTTGAGAACTAAATAAATCGGTCAGAAGATTAAACATATTAAGTGACTATTGGAATGAGAAAAGGATTACAGTATATATGAAAAGGTTTACCATATCCCTACTATTACTAATACTACAATACGAAGTGTCATAATTCAGATATTTAGATAGCTTGTAACTGCTTACAGTTAACTGATGTGGCTATGATTTCAATACAAAGTCCAAACAACCTACAAATCTTAAACACGAAATTTAAAAGATCTTCCTGTTGGTGAAGTGATAAGTATTCCATCGGCTACAATATCCCGAGAAAACTACACTACACCTGATTTCCTACAAACAATAAAATCATTGTAATACCTAAAAAATCAATTTTCTTACTTTGCTACACAAAGTCATTATCTTTCCGTCCACCCATCATAACCCGCTACAAAATAGATTGGCGTTTGAAAATATATGAAAGTTTGCTTTTAGAGTGGCTATGCTTCACTTAATACTTAAGCACTTTTTACTGGTGAAAAATTTGTCTGTTTGCATACTATTGTAAGATGATAAAACTAACCCAATATACAACTAAGCTTTCTGTATCTAAGCCACAATTCTGACGACAACCGATCTATTAGCACTGACATGATTGTAGAATCTGATCGGTTGATGCATGTTCACAAGAAAACAAGTTAGATAAAAGAAGTAACCAACCTTTACCACATCTGCACATGTGAATTTATCAGGTCTGTAATTGCATTTCGAAGATCCTACAGTGGTCTGTGGTGGAAGCTGGCGCCAAAGACCACATTTATTACATTTTAACCACCAGGGTAACATTTGTGCAGCCAAAAAGTTAGCCGCGTTCAGAATACGACGGCGACCCAACTGGCTTGACTTCTTCAGCCACTCCCGACGCCATGAATTCATTCTATGACGCCAGACAGAATTCACCGACTGTGATCTGTGTTTTGAACTTAAGAGATAAACGATTTTAGGAAAAGATAGAAACATGTTAATATCATAGAAGTAGTTCAACAATGACAGATGCCTAAAGCAATACAAATAACTTGGTAGGATTGGCGAGGTTAAAGAACATGGACGACCTTTGAACGAATCTTAAATGACCTTGAAAAATATTAGCCAATCAGAAGACAGTTAGTATACAGTAAAAATATATTATATAAAACTCAAAAATTAGACTCGCCGAAGTCTCAATCTACTACCAATCGTTTATTAAATGTGAGTTTCAACTTTTTCTGGACAGAACAAGCACTTTATGTGAAAGACAAACTTGCAGATAGACGGGATTTACCCCAGATTTTGAATGTGTCGTCCATATTTTTAACTTCTGCAATATTTTTAAACTCACATTTCAAGCGAATAACCATTCTTGGAAAACCTGGTTGCCTTTGATTTGCTAGACAGGAAAACGGCCTGAAACTTCTTGCGAAAAACGTGTGTTTAGGAAGCTTAGCAACAACACGGATGCCTATACAAAAAAAAACATATTCACCATTGTTCTAAGACAGTTCAAATAAGTAATTACGTGAGGACCAACCTAATAAGCGTCCCAACACCCAAAAATAGAAGTAGACCGAAAATTCCAACAACTTACGTGTTAGTGTTCAAAAACTCGTA